GACTGATTTGTTTTATGTCTGACTTGTTTATTACTAACACAAAATATCGTCCATGTATAAGCACCCCCGTATATAAGCCCCCCCTTGTATAAGCCCATCAAAAATTGATTTTGAAAGTATATAAGCTCAGGGCTTATAGTCGGAGGTTTACAGTAGAGTGTAGTGAAATAGGAGAATAATAATCTATTATGAGAATAAGCCTGTTACACTTCTTTGAAGCATTAAGATGCTGATTAGTCGACTATTTGACTTTTGTGAGACTGTGGTTACATGCATAGTATATTTAAAGATGAAACAAACACTCAAAATAAAGCCATTTAAACAGTTGGTTTTTTAGCCCGGGCTGGAATTATTTGTGATTACATGCTGCCGGGCTGAAATTTCTGCCTGGGCAGCTCAAACGTGGCTGAATAATCATGTAATAACCACTTGCTATGTTTTAATAGGATTTTATCCTTGGGCCGGGCTGAAACTTAGCCCTGGTAAACTCTCCATGTAATCAGCCCCATAGGGGCCATGTCCATATTCATGTTGCCACCAATAACGTCAAATCGGAAGTCAAAATACGACTGAATATCAATCAACATTATCTGGAGTGGGTGGGTGCCATGGATGAAGTGATAACATTGATTCAATGTTATTTGTGGCAACATGAATATTGTGACTTGGCCCGTAAGAGCTGTTAAATTCCCAAGAGCAGAAAATTGTGCACTTTACAAAGATATTTTAATTTCTTAATTAGTCAATATTCATAATATACTGTACATGCATTGTGCACACTGTCAATATTTTTGCATTCAGCTTAGTACTACACACATAAAAATTGAGAAAATCAACAACTTGTTCCAGGTTGATATCAGCAGGCGTGAACAAGGTTGTGCGGCCCACTATGAACAGTATTGTCAACATGTTGTTACAGCATTGTTCAACTGTAACAACTTGGAACAACATGGTTGACAACTTGTTCATAGTTGGCCGCACAACATTGTTCATGCCTGTCGATATCAACTTGGAACAACCTGTGCGTTTTTAGTCGTGTAGGCGTTCAAATTCTAACAATATGGTACATTATTTCAATACTTTTGGGGGTTTTTTCGGGATACCATGTAGAGCTCAGCTCAGAGCACCTGTCTTTATTGCTATTGCTATATATAAGAGATATTTACATATTTTTCCTCTGAAAATGTTTCATGGCACTGATAACATGGCATTCTTCCAAAATGTACCTGTGCTTGGACAAAGGTTTGAAATGAAATATGTATCATGTCCGGACCAGGCATTGAGATAATCTTACTTTCCAGTATATTGGCAGATACCGGATTTGTCCTTTCAACTTTGTGAGCAAGGCTTTGGCAATACGATGTTTAGAGTGAAGTTCTTTCCTATGATTTCAAGTATCTTTTCAAATCAAAGTATTATAAACACCCTCATTTTATAACCAATTAAAATAATTATTTATCTTAAATGAAAGTATAAATCTTATATCAACAGTATCAGTTATTTGGCCTGATATCGTCCAACATATCTGACATACTGACATCTAGCCGAATAGCAAAAGGTTCTATCTTGTGGCTCGTGCAGCCCTAGAAATGACAAGGTGCCCAATTGTGACCAATTGTTTTATACCAGGTATTTCTCAAAGGTAGCCCTCGTTGTGACTGAGAAGAAAATTTAAAAAAAAGACTAGTGTATAAACTGTATAACTTAAATATAATGAGTCAGGCTATTTAAGGTTTTTGTGTAATAGTAGGATTGTCTACAAATTAACTTGGACTGTAGAATAATCCCTATTTTTATTTTGTAGCCAATTACTCACCACAGAAAATTACAAATTGGCACAGCAAGGCATGTTCAAGGGAAAACCTGGCATTGTGTACACAGACCCTGAGAGATACCGTACAGCAAGAACTGGTTTAATTTATGGGCTTCAGTTACTTCACATTGTAAGTCATTGTGCACAACTTTATAATAGTGTGTGTTAATATTTCTCTGCCATTACAATATAGTGATGTGACTGTGTTCTTATTCGACTGTGTTAACCCATTGAGTTGCATTGTGCCCTACTTTATTATTTTACTTTGTCTAACACCAGACTATTTTACTCGTTAATGGGTATAACTGTCCTATCCGCCCATGTGTCTAGTTAACCCATCGAGTTGCATCGTGCCCTGATGCACCCTATTTTAATGATTATGCTACTCTGTCTAACGCAAGATTATTTCACTATGTCTAATAGACTAATACCAGATTGATTACAGTGATTACAGTTTTTGAAGAAAGAATTGTTTAGTATCCGTACATGGATTAAACCATTAACCTATATTAAGATACTTAATCTATATAAAACCTTAATCTATATGTGTATTATAGAATTAGAACTTAACTATATATGTGTATTTTAATCTGTATAGAAATTTATTCTATGTTTGATCTTTTTGTAGAGTTACAAAACCGTTGTATCATGGCAGCTTTGACATATGTCCTTGAGGAGAAGGAGCATACCTCAGGAGAGCATTCCTTTAATTAAAGTTGTTCTTGTAAGTGAATTTTGTATATTTTATAACATCTAGATAGAATGTTTGTGATGTTACTCTGAGTGTGAATCCACTCCGGGCAAGCTGAAAAGTTAGCTTGGCCACGGTGGGAATCGAACCTGCGATCTTTGAGATACTAGTCCAATGCTCTGCCAAATAAGCTACATGGTCAAGTCGGTTCGAGTTGATGATATTTCGGAACTGAGTCTAGTTCCTTCTATATCAGTGTATTCTATATGATTATTTTTTATGTGTATTGGTGTTATGTACTTGATGTTATGTACTCAGGTGATGTACTCAGTATGAGAAAAAATAATCAGACATATAGAATACACTGATATAGAAGGAACTAGACTCAGTTCCGAAATATCATCAACTTGAACCGACTTGGCACATAGCTCAGTTGGCAGAGCTTTGGACTAGTATCCCTAAAGGTCTCGGGTTCGATTCCCACCGTGGCCAACCTAACTTTTCAGCTTGCCCGGTGTGGATTCACACTCAGAGTAACATCACAAACATCATAATCACTGAGTACATAACGCCAACACACACAAAAAATAATCTAGATAGAAATTATGAAGTGATGTATATTTTTGTAGTGTAACTACAGGAGAAGAAGTACAATATTTAGACAAAAGTGTAAGTTGTGCATGAAATGCTTATTTCACTCAGTTATATATTTCCTTGTTGCAGGATAATTCTGAAATTGCTCCCAAAATATCAGGATGCTCAACCCCTCGTCTATTGGCCACTGGACCTCTGGAAGAGATAAGTTCTATTTCATTGATTGCAGAGGAAATGGTTGCAAAAAATTCAGATACGATCCGTGCAATATTACCAACGCAGTGGCACTTTTGCTTGCAGAGTACTACGTTTTAACATGCAGTACCCAAAAGGGGCCAACAGGTCATAGTAAGAACATTGATATGTTTTAGTAATTTAGAACATGTTCTTTTGGGCAATAATTGCCATACCGGTACTTTACCAATTGACGTGGAGAACTTCCTAAGCTAAAGGATTTTATGAACACATTAAATGGAACAATTTATGCTAATGAAATTTATGATAATATTGTATCACTAATTTAATGCATGTATTGTACATGCAGGATATATTGTCCCGAGGAGAGTTATGACCCTCACAATCATGGGCTATTTCTGTAAATGTTTCTATATAGTATAACTCTAAACTATATATAGCTTACAAGCTTACAATTATTTATATAGCTTACAAGCTTACAATTGTGTGAGATAACTATTGTTTCTTCTATATATGAAGAGCTTTTTACTTTCACAATATAATATGATGATCGCATGCCATCAAACTCTGCTCCACTTTCACTTTACTGTTTTGCAATTGTCGCACACTGGAATTCAATTATCTCGTAGATTATTTTAATTATATATTATATATAAGACTTATATGCATTCCTTAAGAAAAATACATGATTTTTATCAAAGTACTGAAATTGTTTTAATATTTACTAATTTGACTTTGAGTCAAATATTGATTTTAACCTATTTGATTTTAACCTATTTGATTTTAACCTATTTTTTTAGGTTAGATCAACCGCATGTAACCTATTTTAAAGGGCTGGTTTAGACTCATGGCCTTTACCATTATTTATGGGTTATTTCAACCATAAAGAATAGGTTATATTTGTATTAACCAAAACTTATAGGTTAAATTGACCAAATATTATTGGTTAAAATGACCAAATATTTATAGGTAAAAACAACCTATATTTATTTGGCAAAAACAACCTATATCTCTGAGTAGATTTAACTGTTTAAATTTAGGTTGTTTTAACCTAAAAATAAATGTTATAATAACATATTTTAAATAGGTACAATTAACTATATTACAGGTTAAAATAACCCACTAGAAATGGTTTGTTTTAACCTATTTAGTTTTAGTTATTTCTACCTATTTAAATAACCTATTTTAAACCGGTTGTCCTAGACCAACTGAAATAACCTATTTTTTTTGGTTATTTTAACCTATCAGTTTTTACAGTGCATGTCAACGTGGGATAGAGCGATTATCGTTTTCAGATGCCCACAGTTGAAATCAATATATTGTGGGACGGTGCAGCTTTTTTTTCAGATTGCCCGAATATTTATATATTTTGCAGCATTGTATAAATGGAATATTGAATGTGCGGCTACCTCCGATGTATGCCATGATTATTCCGCGGCGTTGTGTGATGTATACCAACTTCATTTCGTTGTGACGTTTACATATATGTCAATACTTCTAACGTTTTGCAGTATTGTTATAGAATATCAATTAGATTATTTCACTGCTTTTTGTCTTACATGTTATTTTATTATTGTACAGTATGTTTTTGTTAGGTTTATAGCCCGTTTAGCCGGTATGTCGATATCAATCGGTCAAGCATAGCTAAAGTACATGGTGCAACTCAAATTTTTGCTTGTCTGCGTTCTTTAGTCTTCCCTTTCAGAACATCCATGCTACTAGCCCAAGCATCTCAAGTACAAATGGCCGCTGAAGAAAACGTCAATCGTCCACCCTTCATGGTTGCCAGTACACTGACAGTGAAATGTTATGGCCAACTTGGTACTTCCTATCCTTCAACTATTTTCGTCCGCACCACCCGCTCTAATATAGATTTGTGGTTTGTGACTTGGCAGTACGCGGTGGCGCCAAATTAAAATTTTTATACACAATTGCGCTCTTTGCGGCCAAACCACATACTGCGATGCCAGGGGGGTTAAAAGTCATTAGGAAGCCTGAATACGCGACTTTCCTCTTATTCGCGCACTGTGCCAAAATTTAATTGCGCGCACGCAATCTCAGATGCCTACTTCTAGTTATTTTTTAACAACGGGCTTCCAATCTCTTGGCAACCTAGACATTCTCCGTGTAAGACATTCTAGACATTCTCCATATATCCTCATCGATTCTCCAGTAATGGCGCCCCAACCGCTGTCAAGTCTCGCCCTACCAACGCCAGTCAAAATAAATCAATTAATTTATTAATGCATTTACTGGGTGGACATGATGCGTAATTGACTGTTTATTCATATGAAGGTTTTACATTTGCGAATATCGTTTTATGCAAATTAGAATATTTTATCTGCTGGACAACACCATGAACTTGTGAGCACTATATTAAATGTCTAGAGGAATAGCTGCGTGTTCGCCTTTGGGTATTGTTTATACTAAACAAGCGCCGGAATACATTATTTATTTTCTCTAAATTATATTGTTAATTTTGGTAGTCACACTGTTAATTTCCAGGAGTCAAATTGACTCCAAAAGTGGAGTAAATAAAAAAGGTACAGAACGACTCCTTTTTTGGAGTAAATTTTACTCCTTTTTTACTCCATGTTTTGGAGTAATTTTAACTCCTTAAGTGGAGTTGTTTTTACTCCTTGAAGAGTAATAACAACTCTACTTAAGGAGTAAAAATTACTACATAACATGGAGTAAAAAAAGGAGTAAAATTTACTCCAAAAAAGGAGTCGTTCTGTACCTTTTTTATTTACTCCACTTTTGGAGTCAATTCGACTCCTTTGGAGACAAAATGACTTCTATATATCGGAGTAAATAAAATTCTTTAACTAACTTTATAAATCAATAAAGAGATTTTTCAAGTCAAAATAATTTATTATCCCTACAAGTAATACAATTTGCTGTAGCATAATATAATGATATACTCTTACGCCCTATTATATTTTTGAATGAAGTTCTAAAATGAAATTTTGATTAGAATGATATCATGAATACATGCGGAATACAATTACAAGTCTGTCAGCATGAATTGAACCTGCAGCCCTACAATTCTACCGCAGCCCTCTGACCTAAAGAGCCATTTTGCCAAGAGGTAACCACAAGTTGCTGTATATATACCATGGTGGTGTCATTGGTAGTGTATTAAATAAACTGCCCAGGATAACACTAGTATTATATACATGAACTCTTGGTTACAGTAGAGCCTGACAGGTGCGGATCTAGGATTTTTCAAACATAAGTCGAACTCCGAAGGCGTGAGACATGCTAGGGGGGTCTGGGGGCATGCCCCCCGGAAAATTTTGAAATCTAGAGTCTCTGAAATGCGATTTCAAGCGTTTTGGCGGTGAGATTTTGCAGAATTCCAAAGATTATAAAGTACATCAAGCACATGCTTTTTTTATGATCTCACAAACGTGCCTTCTCCCAGTCCTCAGAATTAGATTTGCTAACGGAGGGTCATATTACAAAACACATCATGTAGTTTCAACTTTCAGTAGCCTTTGAGTTTGGCTCATGAAATCCTTCGCAAATTGAAGTGAGTGATACCAATGGCCGATCCAATATAACTCGCTGTTTGTGAATCAAAATTCTCAAGCAAAATAAAGAGTAATATTTCAATTATACTTTGTAAAATGCATTTTTTATTCAATGAATTACAATATGCTATAAATATCACTTGTATATTATAACGATATTCATCGCAAATCTTTCATGCAATGCAAATCATCCAAATTATATTGTTTTAACCCTCCAATGCCAATGCTCTATTCTGGCCCATTTTATAATGGACAATGCATTTATAAATTATAAATACAGCAGGAAAGCTATAAGGCCCGAAAGCGCATTGTAAGTTGCAAGTCGTCGGAGTCGATTGCGTGTAAAAATATATTAAAGCGTGTTATATTTCAACTTCGCATTTATCATACAAGATACATTGCAATATATTAATTTCTGTTTCATAATTTTGGATATTTTCATACATTATAGCAGTGCACACTTTCCGTTTGGCTTTACCACCCAAATTACGACCATTGTGATTTATTGTGAAGCACGTAGCAGAGAAGTCCCAACTTAGTGCCTTCTCGTTGTTGAACAGAACAACAATATAAAAGCTGCTCGCCTGATATCTTAGCTGTCCCACAATAATCCTCATTCAGAGACAATTCAAGTTTATTAAAGGCCGTTAAATCGTCTCGTAAAATCGGCCGCGTACATATAAATACTCGACATCGTAAAATAATTCTCCCAACTATGAAAAACCTTCATATACGGGAATATGAAAGACTGCTTTGAGGCCTACTTTGGGGGCCAAGGTCGCCTAATATCGCCTAATTTCGCCTAATGTCGCCTAATTTCGCCCAATTTCGCCCATGTGCACCCGAATTTTGAACTTTGCCTAACAGTCTATTCGCTTAATGTCGCCTAATTTCACCTAATGTCGCATAATCTCGCACAAGCATGCCCAATTTTGCACTTTGAGTTTGTCGTCCATTCTAGTCTATTCCTTATTTATTTGTTAGTTTCCTGCATGTTTTTTTTATATATACATGTACACAAACACCAAGGGCATGTGCTGTTAGGGCACCATCTCTCACCAGTACTAATGAGGCTTTGTTATTTGGGGTTTATATGTATATGGAATTACAACGCATTATTCCAATGAGAATTACCTAAATTATGTTGTTGAGGCAGCCTTCTGGCTATCTTCTCCAATGTGTTTCTTTGTGAAGCTCAGTCAAATTAGACAATCACACGCCATTAAATGTTGTATATGAAATCAAACTTAGATCTTATTATCAAAGATACATTTATGATACATTCATGAGTGCTAAAGTACAGAATACCTCTCACTAGCCTAGTGAAGTACACTAGGTATCCAAAAGGCCGAAACAGTACCGTCTGTAGTTATATATGTACTATTTAAAATACTCATTAATAATTCATAAACCTTGTGGCAAATCATGTCAGCCATAATATGTCACGTGGAGTGACTTTATATCTGATAAAACACATGTGGCATTGTATAATTGTTCATTCTAATTAGCATTATTATATAATGGGTTCATCCTAATTAGTATTCTTTTGTAGTCATATTTTAAGCTATTCAAAACACTCGTTGTCGTGTTTTATCAGATATAAAACGCTCGACTGCGCCTCGCATTTTATATCTG